ATATATATATATATATGTGTGTGTGCGCATAACAGATTGTGGTTGATATTTTGGAAGGGTGTTTTGACTTACTTGCCATTGATAAGCCTTGAGCACAGCAGGACTGACCCATTCCATGAACACTTTCCCGTTTAGAAGGCTATGTAACAGTGCCACCTGCAACCACCACCACCACCACATGTAACATGTTAATGGCGACCAATTACCATCCAATTCAACACATTCAACACTACATCAAAGAACCTTAGAGAATGATTCGCCATTTGCCATCATTTCCATTAATTGCAACGCCGTGATTGCACCAGTCACTGCACCCACACCGGCTCCACGAACTAATCCCGTTTCCGTCGTTTGCCCTTTGATCGCCCCCGTTATTATCCCTATCCCCGCCCCTCCTGCACCCAATTGGTTAATCAAAACTTGTGATACGAGTTCGAATTTTGAAAATTGGGGAAGAAGAAACGAACCTAAAGCAAAAGCGCAAGTTAACAACGCCGTGAAGATCCTGTTTATAACATTCCTGATTTTAGAATCAGCCATTTTATCTGCGGAGAAATGAAGGAGGACGGTGGCGGTGGGGGTGGGGGTGGGGGTGGGAATTAGAATGGCATTAAAAAGAGAAGAGAGCAGAGGAAGCATTTATAATAGGAGAGGGAGAGAGTACACATAGTGTTTTGAAATTGCAATAAATTTGTGTTTTTAGAAACAAAACTCATCCACCGATTTCTCATCTTCATCTTCATTTTCATTTTTAATAAAAATGTTGTTCTGTTTTAAAATAAATGTCTACATTTTTATTTATATATAAAGTCAATTTTAAAAATCAGAAATTAGATTTCCGAATTTGCCCTTAATTAAGGCTAAAGCATTGTGACTTGTGAGAAGGGATAAATGAAATAAGGGTAAATTTGTCATTTGCTTAACAATGAAACAAGTATGAGTTTTCTTTAATCAAATATTGAATAAGTCTATTTGTTAGCAGATTTCTAATGAGATATATAATTTATTTGTTTAACTATACATAATTGTTTGATTAGTGAGTTGAAGTTGACGATATATAAAATAGCTTATTCACTAAATTTATTTGTATATAAATAAAAGTTGTTTTAAAACTAAAAAAATACGTTCACTCCATCTATAAGAAAAAAAAAATACTTTTAATATATACAATCAAATGAAAACCAATCAAACAAGTGGAGTAATGTAAAGTTATAAGTTGTGAGATGTAGATTAAAATAGATGATGCTAATCATTTTTTTTTAAGTTTATGTATGAGAAAAAACTCATCAACTTTAATGTTTGAAATAAAATTAAGTAATTGGACAATTTTTTTAAACAAATAAGTCATTGTACCTTTAAAAACCTGTCAAATAAATATCCTTCTACTTTTTAAAATATGTTAGATATATTTTTATTAACTATTAAAATGGTAAAATAATAGAAAAAAATAAAATACAAAAACCAAAGGACTTTCATATTTTTAACAATTAAGTCTTTAATCTATAAAATAAAATAATTACATTTGATGGGAGAATATAATAGAATAATAGTATTGTTTCTTCGTAAATGCTACTTCACATGCATGATGCATGATGCATGTATCATGTACTTCATTTATTTTTAGGATATAAATTAATAGTGCTTATTTAATTAATAATTATAAATTATTAAAAAAAAGAAAAAGAAAAAGTAAAAGTCATTGATTTGGTTGTAGAATACATATGGCAATGCCAAGTTGCAGGTAAAATGTATCCTACAATTATTGAAGTCTCAAAATCCACATGAATTATAGACTTTAACATTCAAACATGTGTATTGTGAATGATTCATGGTTTCTATTCCTTTTGAGTTCATCCTAATATATTTATAATATGCAGCTAAGACCAAAGTGATATATATATATATAT